CTGGGTGCCACCAACGCTGCTACCAAATCCACATGAGCTTGCACAAACCCACACCCCCTGAGCTCCCCACCAGCCTGCCTCCCGGTGAACTGGGCCACACTCAGCCATCGTGGCAGAGATTTATTGAGCAAGAGAGAATAAAACAACAACGACAGGGACGACAACAGGGTTGGAATCCATTTCAGCCTAACTGGTATTTTACACAATTGGATACGTTTGACTAAACTAATACATATGTATGGAGATGGGTGCATTTCCATTCAAACCAATGTAAATTACCTTTGACCAATATATTTTCCTGGAAATCAATGCATTTTAACACGAGATAATATTTATGAAATTGAATTTTTTATTGAAGCTAATGCAATTCTATTCTATTTTATGCATTTTTATTAAACTAATGCATTTTAAATTAATCCATTGTATATTAAGTACAACAGACATTGGTACTTACAGTAAAATAATATATGCCCGCTGAAATCAATACAGTTTCAAAATTCACTGTTTGCCATTTAACTGAAGGATGTCAAGAATACACACCTGTGAGTTCAGGGCATGTGAATACAAAATCCCATCTTTTCTGTCTCTGTCTCTTACTTTTTTCCTTCCAAAATCATTATCACATAGAAGATATCGTGCCTCAGGATATGGCCTGAAGCCCAAGGATTTAGAATTAATTCCCCATTAGAACAATCAAATAAATCAAACATCAGAGTTGACTGACTTTTTGACCAGGCGGACAGGTGATTCTTAATCAAGAGGTGTGACACAAGTCACTTACTAGTAAGATACCAAAGTTTGAAAATAATTACTTAGACAAAATGTTTCAAATTAGTCAGACTCTTGGCAGGAAAATAAAATGACACGCTCGTGTTGGTATTTACAGAAGAGCTTTCTAAGGTGACACTGTTGCAGGCCCCCGGGACCTGCGCACATCCGGGCCTGCAGGGGGAGCCGGCAGAGAGAAGCCCAGGCTGTGTCTCAGCGCCTCCGGCCGACCTCCCCCGAAGGAGGCCAAGGCAAGAGACAGGAGTTCCCTCTTACCTTGTGCCTCATCTCCTGTCGATGAAGAAGGCTGAGAAGGGTGCATCTGGACCCGCAAGAGGGAGGCATCAGCACTCCTTCCGAGCGCTTATGATACGCTAGTGCTTTCTCCTTAACTCCCACAACACTCCATGAGGAAGCTAATATCCCTATTTCCAGACCGAGGAAATAGAGGCTCAGAGACATTAAGTGGGAGAGATAGGATTTAGATAGAGGTCCATCCAATTTTGCTGAGGAACTGGATGGTGTCTGGTGTCTTTTATAAAAGAAGATAAGGTCCTCTTTCACCTCATCAAAGCCCCTTCCTTACTGCATTGGGCTCTCACATGAGGACTTGATGGTGTTGTGGCAGCCATATTGTAACCATGAGGGGAGACTTCACCAACACACTGAGTGGAGCAGCAGAACAGAAAGAGCAAAGGAGTATGGATCCTTGCTGACATTCTTGAGACTCTAAGCCAAGCCCCAACTCTCATACTTTCAGGCTTTGTACTAATTAACAATTAATGCCCTTGTCTTTAAAGGTGCTATTTAGCCTGAACTGCACAGTGAGACCCTGTCTCAAAAAGAAAAAAAAAAAAATGTTGGTACAGTTAACTGTAACTTGTAACTAAAAGCATTTCTAATATACCAATACCTATTTATTTATGTTTGTTTATTTAATTGTATTGAGGATTGAACCCAAGGACTTAGCATTGAGCTACTTCCTCAGCCTTTTTTAAATTTTGAGATAGGATCTGGTTCAGTTGTTTAAATTACCCATTCTAGAACTCATGATTTTCTTGCCTCAGCCTCCCAGAGGACTGAGATTATGGGGATGGGCCACCATGTCCAGGTCAGTGTTTCAGTTTTTCATAATGATTATGCATTACCTTTGTGAATAACACAAAGTCAAATAGTGAATAAACTGAATCACATCCAACAGCCCACTCCCCCACCCTCATGGTGGATTTTTTTATCCTTCAGGACGAAACCCAGATGTGCATGATTTTTTTTTCTGGTCTTTTTGAGACAGGGTTTCACTATGTAGTTCAGCTGGCCTTGTACTCACTTTGTAACCCAGCCTTGCCTTGAACTCAGAGTGATCCTCTTGCCTCAGCCTCCCAAGTGCTGGGATTACAGGCGTGCACCACCACACCCGGCATGCACAATTTTTAAAGGCTGAAGTCTGACCTATTTTATTGCATTTTTATGTGGATTTCTCTCATTGTGCACATTTAGGTAGCAGAATAGCCCGAGCCCTACGTTTCAGCATCCCCCTCTCTCCAAGGAGCCATACACAGCTCTCTCCCAGGAGCAGTGGGGCTGTGGTGGCATTGCCTGGGAGGGCCCCTTAGAAGCCCAGCAGCTCTGGCTTTGCCCTGGGAGACTTCAGTGCTCTTGGGCCCCAAGGAGCTCGTGGCGTTTCCCCAATTGCTCTGTTGACACCAGAGAAGAATTCTGCTCCAAAGTTCCATCCTGCTTCTGTCTCTGGGCCTCAAGGGTTGGGGAAATTTGCTTCTACCTCCCTGATTACCAATGGTGAGATGTCCTGACCTCACTCACTCACCTGAGCTGAGCCTCAATTTCCTTGTTTGGAAAATGGGAGCAGCCTCGGACCTTCCTCACAGGGCTGTCCTGAGGGAAAAGGGTTGAGACCTGTGGGGTGGCAGGCACGGAGCACAGGTCCTTGTGAATAGTGAAAGTTACATCATCGTTCTCTCTCTTAGGGGCTACACTCAGGCTGAATGTGCCCATCCATGCCACAGCGACTTTGGTGGGCATAGCCTTCTTGTGGAGACATTTAGGGCACAGTCATGGCTCACCTTTGATGAGTGTGGAGTCCATGGATTTCTCCTTAACCCTGATGAGCCAGAGTCAGAAGGAGCCAAGTGTTTGGCCTTCAAAGCCAGAGAGACTCAGATTCAAATTTCTGTCCTACTTCCCAGCTGTGTGACCTCAAGCGAATCACTTGGCCTCTCTGTGCCTTGGCTGCCTCATTTGGAAACTGGGATAGCAATAGCTGCCTCATGGGCTGGCTCAAAGATTAAATGAGGTTATACACGGAAAGCCTTCAACGTAGGGCACTTGGGAGCATCTGCCATCTCTCTTTATATAGATGTCATTTTTCTCTCTCTCCTTGCATGGAAATAAGTAGGGAAAGATGAAGTCAGAGTTCTGTGTTCTATGTGCTGTACCATCTCTGGAGACAGATGCAGAGAGGAAGAAAAGTGCAAGGAGGTTATTGGATGAGTTGGCATTTTTTTTCTTCCATAAAAAATGATCTCAAAGAACGGAAAAATTAGAAGGGATTCACTATTAATATTTTAGTACTGGGGCTGGGGATTTAGCTCAGTGGCACAGCGCCTGCCTGGAAAGCACAAGGTCATGAGTTCAGTTCCCGGTACTGGAAAAAAACAAACAAACAAACAAAAAATATTTTAGTACTGCTTCTAGGCTCTAACTCCTAATGGGCTGAGCCCCAGCTGTGAACCTGTGTGCCCTGCATAGTGAATGGCACAAAACAGGTGCCCAATAGATGCTTGTTGCTCTAAAAAGTGTAAATGGATTCCTGTATTAGCCAGCTCAAGCCACCATAGTAAACTGCCACTGACAGGATGCCTTAGCCAACAGGAAACAATTTTCTTACCAGTCCGGGGCCTAGAAGTCAGGCTGCCAGCATGGTTCGGCTCAGGTGATGCCCTCTTCCTGGTTTTCAGATGGCTGCCTTCCCAAGATATTGTCACATGGTGGGAGGGATCTCTTGGGTATGTCTTCTTATAAGGGCATTAATCCCATCATGACAGTCCTACCCTCATGACCTCATCTAAACTATAATCTTGCAAAGGCCCCATGTCCCAGTACCATCACTCTGGGAGTTAGGGCTTGAACATATACATTTGGGAGGGACACATTCAGTTCATAGCAATGCCCTAAAATGTCACGTTTCAACTGCAAAGTAACCTCCAGTTCAGAAAAAGGCATGAGAATCCTTGGATGAGGAGGCTGGGGAGAGAAAGCGTGTTTAGACAAGGCTGGTAGAGAAGCCCAGGCCCACCTATCCACTTGGCTGTTGTGGGTGGCGGGGGTGGGTTTTACTCTATCAGTAAAAATAAGACTACAGCAGACAAGTGCTGCTTTGGCCTTCCTTGACTTTCTTCGACCAGTTTGTGTCCTGTGGCTTTAGCCCTCATCACCACCCTGCCCCAGTGTAGAACTGGGCATGTGACCTGGATCTGGTCTAGCAGTCATGATGATTGGTTCAGGCACAAGCATGTGATCTGATGTGGACCAATAAGAAAAGACCAATAAGTATCTCCAGTTCGGATGAAACTTTCAGTAAGCCTTTTTTTTTCTCTGAGGGCCTTAAACTGGGTGGGGGAATCCTCTAAGTCTGGGGCTGTAGCACCCAGCCCCTGTGAGGAGAGGGCTATATGAGAATGAAGCAAAAAAAGGAGCAAATCAGAGCCCAAAGAAGGAGGAATACAACTTCAGAGGCAGCCATTCACACCATTAAACCATCTAAAATTATTTTTAGCTTAAGCCTTACTGGAGTTATGCTCCTGAAAGATGAAACTAGAACCATGTGACTGGTTCAAATACACTGTCTGAAACTATCCTAAGTTTTGCACAGATGTCACTTGGTCCTCCCAGGTTTGGGATGACGGGTTCCTCTGTCTTGCAAAATTTAAGAGAATTAGCACTTCATTAACTCACTTTTACTGCTTCTGGGGCGGGGCAGCCTTAGAGATACTGTGATCTGCAGCAGACACTATGGCTGGCTTTCCTGCCTCCGTTTCCTTCCTTCTCTTCTGTCGCTCAAGTTCTCAGCGGTCTCCCCCGGTCTCCCCACTAAACCATTTGCTTCAGTGCTAGGAGAGCCCACCGGAAGTAAGGATCAGACATGTGACCAATGCCGGCCAATGAGGCTTAAAGAGAGTTCTAGTGGGCGGGACTTTAGGAGACAGCTTCTAGATTGGTCGGACCCCCCCCCCCACACGTTCTTGGGGCCAATTTTCTGTTAACTTTCAGTGGTGTCACAAGGTACCTGAGAAAACTAACTTAAAGGTGGACAAATTTATTTGGGGCATGGTTCCCAAAGTTTCGGTCCGTGGCCCCTTGCCGTGTTTGTCCCCAGTAAAGCGAGTGGTGGAGTGGAGCTGCTGAGGTGGTGAGGCCAGGAAGAGGAGAGGGAGAGGGTAGTTTAATAACAAAGTCTTCCTCGGAGACCACCAAACTCTGAATCCTTGAAAAGCTTACTCCATTTATGAAGTCAGTGTTCTGTTGGTCCAGTCACCACCCAAAGGCCCCACCTCTGAGCACTGCAACACATGAGCCGTTGGACCCGCGGCCGCCATCTTGCTCTGCGCTGAGGAAAGCCCTGAGGGTGGTAGAGTAAAAAGATGGCACCCACCTGCACAGGGATGATGGGATTGTGCCACTAAAGCAGCCCGCGTGAGATCCTCTCCACTTGAGGGCCCCCCAGCCCTCCTTATGTAAGTATTAATTGTCCTTTCCTTTAAACCAATGGGAAGTCCAGCTGCCTGTTACACTCAGAGCCGTCTTGAGGAACAAACACACTCTTATGCTGTGGATGAGTTGATCTCAGAGAGGGAGGTGGCTTTCTCTGAGGTTAGTCAAAGTGATTTTGGCTGTAAGTGTCAAAAATCTAACTCAACCTAAGAAAAGATAAAGGAATTTATAGTCTCAAGTAAATGCAGAGGATAGGGATAGACAGATGTCACTCACACTGATGAATGGTAAACTGGTACACCCATGCAGTGGGATGTTTTTACTCAGCAGTAAAAAGGGACACACTACTGCTGTGTCTTACACGAGGGGTGAGCCTCAGATGCTTGAAGCTGAGTGACAAAGCACGATTCAATAGCCTGTATACTTGTGACTTCATGTATATGGCATTCTGGACAAGGTAGACCTTGACAAACAAAGCGGATCCGTGGTGGACAGGGGCTTGGAGAGAAGGGGTGTGGAGAAACATTAAAAATCAAATTGAGCAGTGAGGTATGGTGGTACCTGCCTATAATCCCAGCAATCTGGGAGGCTGAGGCAGGAGGATCACAAGTTTGAGCCCAGTCTATACAGTTTTTTTTTTTTTTTTTTTAACCAGGAATCAAACTCAGGACCATGCGCTTGCCAGGCAGGCACTTATGCTGCTGAGCTATATCCCCAGCAGTCTATACAGTTTAATGACTCAGCGAGACTGTATCTTAATATGAAAAAGGAGCTTGAGGCACTTGAGGATGTGAAGTGGGGGACGGTTTTCTGTTTGGACTGCAGTGTTGGTTCCATGCGTCAGGACTCACAGAACCCCATGGTAAGAGGTAAAATTTTACTGTGTGTTTATTGTACTTTTATAAAAGTTGTAATGCAGAGTGCAGAATTATTGTTTAATGGGCACAGTTTCTGTGATGGATAGTGAAAAAGTTTTGGAAATAGCGGTCATGGCTGCACAATGCTGTGAGTGTCGTTAATGCCACTGAATTGTACATTTAAAAATGTTTAAACTGACACATTTTATGTTATAGATATTTTATTACAATTTTGAAAGAAAAAAGAGATAAACAAGAGTAGGGGGGATGCAAGGAAGAAAGGAAGGCAGGGAGAGTTCAGGTGTAGATTTCCGGTATGGCTGGATCCAGGCTCTCTTTCACCAGCAGTCTCTATTCTCAGCAGGCTCTTTCCGAGGGTGACAATAATGATCTCTGACAGTTTCAGATAGGAGCTGGCAACTTAGCAGGACAGATGCTCCTCTGAGCCAGTAATTCTGAAAGTTCCATCGTGTAGGTTCATTGGCTGGCCTTGGGCATGAGTTCTGCCTCAATCAACTCCTGGGGCCAAGAGGTTAGAATGATCCGATTGGCCAGGCCTGGGTCACATGCCCACTCCCGGGGCTTGGGAGAAACCCCACACAAATTGCAACAAGGGTGAGTGGGGAAGGTTGGAGCTCAGAGAAAACCAGGCGACTTTTGCCAGTGGCCCTGGACACCTAAGTTAAATGTTGAGTGGCTCAGCCCCAGTTCCCTGCCCGACACTGATGCTGGCTGTGCCATTCTGTCCTTGCATTCTTTCCAGCAAAGCCCACGTAGGTACAACATACACTCATCATTCCATCCCTGGGTTTGCATAAAAACCCACGTCCACGAAGTAGCAACTGCAATGTTTTTCAATCACACAGCAAAGATATTTAAAAATATCACCCATATGTGTTTTAAATACAGGCAAATAGCTGGCAAAGCAGCCAGCTTCACACCCGCGTGCCATTCTGAGTTAGAATCTTCTCGCTTCCAACTCTCAAAATCACACGTTAAAGGCCAGACAAACCCAGAATGCTGCTGAGGCTGCGTGTCTACCCACAGTCTTCCCGACCTGTGCAGCCGGGATTTCTTTCCTCCTGGTGGAGGAACAGTCCGTGAGCCCAGGGAGGAATGTAAGGGTCCTGGGCTTGAGCTGGGTCGTTTGCTTGTGACTGACAGTACAGAAACAGAATCAGGTTTTAAAGAACCTCCAGTCTGAGCTCCCTTATGAAACCATCCTTAGCAGCCCAGTCCATCCCAGTCCCCTGCATGCCAAGAGCGTCATCTCCCTTGTGATACTCCTCAGAGTCCCTCCCTGCTTAGCTATGGTCTTGTTACTTGAGACTCTCCCGCATTTTCTCACTTTCCAGATTTATATTCCTTTTAATATCTAAATTACCCTTCGATGTAAGTAACGTATAATTCCCAATCAAACCAGCTAAAAATGTATTTTCTTCATGTAGTCATGCATCGTTTAACCATGGGGAAACATTCTGGAAAATGAGGCATTTTCATCATTATGTGAACATTACAGAGTTTACTTACACAAGACAGCTATGATGTCGTTAGGCAACATAATCTTACTGGACACTGTCATATATTCAGTCCATTGTGAGTAAAACATTGGTATGTGTCACATGGCTAATCACTCAAGAAATGCAGAGGTAGGCAAGTTCATGTTTGGTATGATGAGTGGCTATGTAATGTTAGCTTTCTACCCTCTGTGTGCTCTTTACCCTCAGCCTGCTTTTCTCATGGCTCTAACATGGCTGCATCAGCACCAAGTATCACATCTAGATGCAAGACACAGTATGCTTTCCCTAGAAACACTTCCGCTGATCTCATCTCATCTCCCACTGGCTAGACATAAATCACATGTCCACTCCTAGACCAATCATCACTAAGGGCAATGGTGAGCATCGTGATTGGCTTAGACTCTAGATCAGTCAGGATTTGGCTCTGAAGTGAAGGAGTGTTATTGCTACCTCCCTGAAACATGATTTGGGGCAGGTGGACATTCTCAAAAAATAGAGGATATGTCAGCAAGGAAAAAGAGGTATGGTTGTTGGGTCAACCGAACAGACCCCATTAGTATCCTGTCCCTGCCTCCTTAACCCTCTCATTTCAGTGCATATCTTCTGACTGCCCCCACTGTGGCCTACATGTCATCGCCAGGGGACTTTAACCTGCTCCTGGAGCCTGCTCACCCGTCTGCAGGTCCCCAGGAATGAGTGCCCACTGGGAGCTGCCCTGAGCGCTGACTGATGGGCAGGTGGGTGAACTCCACCAGCTCCCCCACACCTCGGGTGAATAACAGGAGGCATGTGTGTGAGGTTGTCGCCTGGCCCCTGCTCTAGTACACCCAGTTGGGTGCCCACTGTGGGGACCGGCCTGCGTTTCTGGGCTCCTTCTCTTCCCCGTGTCACTCCGCACACTGCTCCGCGTCTCCTCCCCACAGACTGTCACAGCACTGCTTACTGCTACGGAAGGGAGAGGGAGAAGGAAGAGGCAGTGAGAAGAAGGAAGGGGAGGAGGAGCAGAAGCAGGGTCACAGGATGACCTTAAATCCCTCCTCCCATCACTGATGCCACCGTCCCCTCGACGGTGTCCCTTGTTCTTTCTAGACCTGTCCTCGGGGGCGCTGGCTCCTCTTGACCCCTGCCCCAGTGCCACATAAACTTGCTGCGCTGACTTTGAGCCAGCCGTGCGGGGGGCTTTGCACCTGTCTCCTTCACCACCACTTGCTCCACTTCCTATGAAGCTGTGCAAGGCCCTCGGCTCCTTGTCTGTGATGCCAGAATCCCACACTGTAGAATATGAAAAGTTGTTTTTTTTTTTTTTTTAGATTATGGCAAATTCTTTTGGCTGAAAAATGTGGCCATGACTGGTGAATGTATAGACTCTTAAAAAAAAAAAAAAAACCATTTTATGTGGACAGTCACACATTTACTACAGAAATATCTGGATCTTGGTCACAGAGTACTGCCTGATCCAGCCCATAATATATGGCATTCAGTATTCTTTTTTTTTTTTTTTGCTACCAGGAATCAAACTCAGGACCTTGCGCTTGCCAGGCAGGCACTTGTGCCACTGAGCTATATCCCCAGCCCTCAGTACTCTAAAAATATGAAAAGTTCTGAATTCCAAAATGCATCTGGTCCCAAAGGGTTTGGATAAAGAGGGTTATAAGTGACGATGACGGTGATGATGATGGTGATGATGGCGATGATCTCCATTTCACAGATGAGGAATCAGGTGTGTGAATCTGAGAATCAGGTGTGTGCAGCAGCTTACCCGAGTTTACAAGCGCGGCCCAGATTGAAATGTAGGACCTCCAAGATCAAAGTCAAGACCACCACCTGACATAATTTTTCAGTCCTCTCCATCCAACTTCACAATTTTTGCCATCTCTCTTGTACTCTCAGTATTACTATTTATTTAATATTTTTCTTTAACTATTTAAACTATCTGGACTATTTTTTACTTAAATGTATTTGTAAAAGGAAACCTCCTATCGCCTAAGTGGAAAACTGGCATCTCTTGCCATACATAGAAAGTAGCTATACAGAAATATATTGAGAGTAAAATAATGAGTTAAATTCCTGCCTGTCAGAGGAGCTGAGCCTGAAACCTGCTCTCTTTCTATTTATTTATTTATTGAGAGGGTCTTGGTATATAGTTTAGACTTGAACTCACTATGTGGCCCAGGCTGGCCTCAAACTTGCAGCGAGCCTCCTGCCTCAGCCTCTGGAGTGCTGGAATTATAGGCCTGCGTCACCATGCCTGGCTCTTTCTATTTAAAAGAGAGACTTTTTGAGAGGCAGAGGTGGTCCACTAACCTAGGCATGTGCCTTAGAGTGACAAGCAGCTGAGAGCATATGAAATAAAGCAGAGGAGGTAGAATGTCCAATGGGTGCCGTAGGTTGCCCATCATTCTTCTGAGATGAGGATGGGGTTTGAAGTAGAAATTAAGTTGCTTTGTAAACATAAGGAAACCCACTATCTCTTGTGTCCCTGTTCTGGGAGCTGAGCTTTGTATCTAGTGCAGGTAGAGCTGGAAATCTGGTGTCCCTGTGCACGTCAGGTCTGTCTGACCCACAATTGCCCAAGCAGTCCCTGGGTAGCTCCTTCTCCTGGCCCTGGACGACCCCACATGCTGAGGCCTGCGCCTTCCACCCAATTGTCGCTCTCTTCTTAGAGGGCAGGGACTCTTTTGCTCCGATCTCTGGGACACAGAGGAGGCCACACATTTGTTGGCATCTTAACAATTTCTTTACCTAAAACTGTGCGTTTCCCTCTAATAAAAAACAAAACAAAACAAAAAACAAAACAAAAAAAAAACAGATTAACTGCGGGTCCTGTGTTTGTATCACTGGTGGCTCATGAAAGTGTCCTCTCAAAATGCACCCAAAGGAGCAGCCTCTACCCCTAGTACCTCCAGAGCTTAGTGCCAACTGTGGAGGATGGGAGAGATACTCGGTTGGCATCCTACTCAGCTCTCTTGGAGCTCCTGGTGGGACCAGCCTCACTTCTTTGAGGCTGGGCAGAGACCTGCTGTGGCTGGTGGGGTTGAACAGATGAGCTGTGTGTCATTGCCAGGAAAAGCCTTTGCGAGGCAATGCGTGAGTTACTGTTTCGGTTTGTCCTGTCCTGACCTTCAGTGACAGGGGCTCCGTCATCCTGGGTTCCTGAGTGAGGAAGCTGCCCCTCGGTAAACACACAGCAGGACTAAGAAGCAGACACTTGCGTTAAGCCACTGTAGTTTGGGGGCTGTTACTGCAGCATGTCCTAGCCACCCCCGCCCCCGTGACGCAGCAGAGGGAGCCAGGATGAATGCGATGCACATAAATCCCGCTTCCTCTAAGGAGCCTCTGCCGAGCACACGGCCCTCTGTTCCTACATTAACGGTCCTCAAGTGCCATCCCCCTCCCTGTTTTACCTCTGTCCTTACATTTTCTTTCCTCCCCTTCCATCCTTTCTCCTTTCCTTAACAAGGATTTTCTAAATATGTACAACGCTGCAGTCACGCAGAATCCAGTTACATCAGTGCTTGATTCCGGGTCATATTGTGCAGCGAGATCCTCTGATTGCCCCTTGCAAGTCGGTTGCATCCTTTGGGTTGTGACCGCCTAAGGGCCAGGAACTCAGGATTGTCTCGTGGCCGTCTCCACCAAGGGGAGAGAAGGCCTTGACCAGTGACTTGTTGGCTACCTGGAGGAAGGCATCGAAAGTTCCAAGTGTGCCGTGCTCAGTGATACCACTGTGTGGACCCACGGGCACGTGGCCCTGGGCTTGTGGAAGAGCCTCAGCATCCTCTGTGGACTGAGACGTGTGCAGAACGGTGCGGGAAGCGCACGTCTGGAGCCAGTTCCTTCTGTCTGCCCAGGCTTAGTCTCGAGCCACAGGTGGGCTGGGCTGCATCTCTTTCTAGCCACAGGGGAACACACTGGTCACAAAGATGAGCAAGCGTCAGGGTGAAGCTGCCTCTTCCTTTCCTTGCTCAGTACTTATGTTTTGGGGGACCTCAAGACACCTTGTTTTAGGGAAACTGACATATGAATGTACCCATGGGAGCAGTTGTCAGCGCCAACAGTTGTCATGTCCTTACTCACCCCAGGTATACTCCCGCCCTGATTTCAGACTTTCACAAAGTCTTTCTGTAACGCAGACTTTCTGTAAGCGGAAAGTCTTTCACAGACTTTCTGTAAAGCAGCTAGGGGACCTTGATTCCTCATGAAGCCAGACAACCCTCCTGTGGCACTGCAGTTATATTCTGATGGATTTCAGATGTGAGAAGATAGAAGGACTATCACCGTGGCACCTATATACCTACCACCCCGATTCAGAATAAAAGATTACTACCTAAGCCCACACCTGTCCTTCCCCACACGGAGTCATTCTCTACCCCAGAGCGGGGAATCTGCCTCCTGCATGTGGTGTTTACCATCCCCATGAATTCATACTTTATTGAGGACATGAATAACCCCAAACAATATAAAGTAAAATGCTCATATAAACGTGACCATACTGTTCAAGTTCTTCTGCATTTGGTTCCTTCATTCCGCTTTATTGTGTTGAATTGTGGAGATCTGATTCGTGTATTGCCCCGCTTATGGAATTCTATTGTGTGAGTTTAGTACATGATGTTTATCTAATCTACTGTTGATGGGCATTTGGGTGACTGTCTCTTTCCTCTTTTGAATAATTTTTTTTTGATACCAGGAATCAAACTCAGAACCTTGGGCTTGCCAGGCAGGTGCTGCACCACTGAGCTATATCCCAGGGCCCCCCTTTTTCTGGCTTTTTGAGGCAAAGTCTCACTATGTAGTTAAGGCTAAACTCACTATGTACTCTAAGCTGGCCTTGAATTTGCAGCAATCCTCCTGCCTTTACTTGCTAAGTGCTGGGATTATAGGCATGGGCCACCATGCCCAGCCTTGAATAATCTTTTATAAACAATCTTGTATGAACATGCAAATCACTTATGGGATGTGATCAAAACTATGGTTAATGTTTAAATTTTTAAAAATTTATTACAGTAAAAGAAATCATGTCATTAATCTTCCTCAACATACCCCCCGCTTCCAACACTTATCCCATCATTCTTGCTGCTTCTTGACACAGTTCTGGAAGTCTTCTTTCACAGGTGTCTTTAAACCGTACTGTGCTGGTTGCCTTGATGTCCTGAATAGATTCAAAACATTTCCCTTTCATGGTCATCTTGACTTTAAGGAAGAGCCAGAAGTTGTGTGGTGCCAGATCTGGTGAATAAGGTGGATGAGGATACCCCACGTTTCCACAAGCCTGTGTTTCCATTAGCTGATGTTCAGTAGTGGCATTCACTGTGTTTTTATTTGTTTGTTTTTGTTTTTCTTCCAGTACCAGGAATTGAACTCACGACCTTGCTCTTGCCAGGCAGGCGCTTTGCCGCTGTGCTAAATCCCCAGCCCCTGTGTTTTTATTTTTATCATACTTTGTAAAAACATGAAAGAGGACTTCCAGAAGTACTTCAGGAAGTGGCAAAGATGATGGAATAAATGTGTTTGAAGCAAGGGGGAGCATTTTGAAGGGGATTAATGGCAATGTGTCTTTTACTGTAATGCTTTTTAAAATTTAAACATTCACCATATATTTCAATCACACCTCTTACATCCTGTCCTTAGATGGAGAGTTCCTGCTGGAATCTGTTCTGGAAGTGGACTCCTGGGAGGGGACCACCTGCATGTCTTCTATTTCACTAGGTCATGCCAGGTTGTTCCTACAGTAGTGGTTCCAGTTATACCCCCACCATAGTGTATGAAGGGTCTATTTGTTCCACATCCTTGTCAACATTTGATATTGTCGGGCTTTACAATTTTGGCCAATTTAGTGAGTGTGAAAAAGCACCTTATTTTGCTTTTTTTTTTTTTTTTT